GATGATGAATATGGTAATAATGATGGTGAATGGCATTGAGTACCCTTGCCCAAACACACCTCATTTTTTTGAACTATCCTGACCTGCTGCCAGCGATGCCTGCAAAACGATGGAATGCGATTGATGACTACGAGGAAGGCTATGATGATGATTACACATGCTCACTGCACCTCGTTTGCGTGAGAACAAAGGAACGGCATGCATGCAACATATGATGTAGAGCTGTTGCTTGCCAGTGCCAGTGATCCTTCGATGGGTGGGTTCTGACATGTCCAATTTTTTTTGCAGGGAGAAGCTTAGTTGTTCGATCCCGACTGACCATTGACAAATGTTATACACATTCTATCTTTCAGGAGATGATGTACGGTCTTGTTCTCTCCTCAACTCTGTCTGTCGTTTTGTCTATCTATATTTCCGTACGCTATTAAAATCGCTAACGTGACAAATCTGAAATCCGGGCCATCGTCGGTCCTACCGTCCGACGGCCCAGATCGACGGAACCATGTAACAAATCTGCCATCTGGACCGTCGGGTTCTACCAGACCGACGGCCTGGATAGACGCGGTCTTAAGATCTTAAGATTGTGCCTAAATCCAGGCCATCAGGTCTTACCGGAATGACAGCGTCGATCGATGTGGTCTTAAGATCGTGCCTACAGCCAGGCCATTAGCCCGGTACCTCGGGTGCAACAACCTGCATCGCAGGCAACTTCAGCGGGTTGTGCCTTTAGCCGCGTGCCATGGCTCAGCCTCGTGCCGCTGCTCCTTGCCTCTGCCTCACGGTGCCGCGCCATGCCTCTGCCTCTCACCGCCACGCCATGCCTCTGCCTGGCGCCACTGCGCGCCATGCCTCCGACTCGCTACGCCGCACCATGCCTCTGACTCGCTGCCCCACCATGACTGTACCTTGCGCCGCCGCGCCATACCTCTGCCTCGCCGGCGCTATAACACTGCTGCAACAACCACGCAACCAAAACAGACAAATCGAGACTCACTCGAGTCAGTGATGCTGATGAAGCCTCCAGCGGAGAACAATCAACGAACAACGTGCAAGCCTTCGTCCATGATTTAGCGCCGTCCAAGTGTATACAAGAGGACTTTTCTTTTTCTTGGTCTTTCTTGATTCTGCTTCTCCTTCCCTTCCTCTTCTTCTTCTGTTCCTCGTCTTCTCCTCAGATTTTTTGGAGAGAGAGAGAGGGAGAGAGAGAGAGACCCCAATCTAACAAACTACGTGCCACTCCCCCCATGCCCACGATCAAGTGCAGTATCAGGTCTCTGACAGGTCAAAAAAAAAAAAAAAAAAAAAAAGAATCTATCCAAGGCTTGCAAAGCAGCAGCACCATCCCATCTCCAGCGTTAACAACAGTGCACAGCTGAGCGTAAAAATCACCCTGACCCCACCCACACCCCGACCAACAAACCCCCTACCAACCCATTTTGGCGTTTTCCCTTCATTTTTTTGCGGGCGAATCCGCAACAGCTACCCTTGTATCAGGGTAAAACTGTTGTTGTGTTCATAGCAGTAATGTTGAAGATTCTGTCCTCCAGCGGATGAAGTATGGCCGTGCTCGCATTTCGACTTTTTTTTTTCCCCGCTCCTGATGTGCGTTGTTGGTTCGTGTCGCAGTTTGGCAAATGTAAAGGCATTGCCAAACGGATGGGTCGCTGACTTTTAATTCTTGGTCTTGTGGCTGCAGTACAGTTGCAGCATCATGCCCGCCATAGACTGCCAACCTTCCGATTGATCTTCTGCCACGTGATTGAGTCGCTTGTATTTGTCCCGGTGAGTATAGGGGCCGTGCCCGCTCTCTCCTATATATGCCTCCCACTGGTCAATGCTCTGCCTTACGTGAATAGAGCCCTCGGAATGAGTCAGAAGGCAGGACCTGGGTGGATGCTGGAACATGTTTTTTTTTAAGGGTTTTTTTTTTTTTTTTTTTTTTTTTCCAGAGGGCCACAGCCTTGAGATATCATCATTGAGCTGATCGGCCCCAGGCAATTCAGAATAATTTTATATGTTCATCTGATTGCATCTGGATTCGAACTTGGGTGTTTATTTCAACAGTTGATGGTTGTACCAACTGAAGCTAGTCCGGTTGGTGGATGCCGGAACCTTGCAGTAGCAGACACAGAAAAAGGAAAATAAGTTTAAATAACATAGTGAATACACATACAAAAAAAAAGTGAATACACAACTGCCCCAACAATGAGCAAGGAAGTAAGTCATGCCCTCATCGGAGTACGCATGTGCTGGCTACCCTTAACAAATTCTTGCAGCACCTCCTGGAGAGGAGGATGGTGTACCTTGAGCTTCACAGTCACATGACGACCTCGGACTGCCCGCAAGGATGCTTTGCAAGCATATGCTTACCGCCATTTCCTCCCTGCTCCTCCTCCCTTCTAACCTCCACATTCTAAAAATGTGCATCGGTGTTGATTGCTATCACAGTACAGTATGTGAATCGAGTATGTTCATTGTATGGACTTCTGGCCTATAGCCTCCGTGCATGCGTCAATTCTTTTCCTGTTTTTGTTTTTTTCTGTTTTCCCGTGGATTGTTAATTGCACCTGAAAAGGTCCTGAAAGTTAAAATGATTGATATCACTGTACAGTATGTGAATTGAGTATGTTCATTGTTTGACTTCTAGCCTATAGTCTCCATGCATGTGTGTATTGGTTTCGTCTGGATTGGCAATCACACCTGAGTGCATCTGGATTCAAACTCAGGTCTTTATTTCAACAGGTCACTGATGTACCAACTGAGCTAGGCCAGTTGGTTCTTCTTGCCTTCAATCCTTCCGTGGGCCACGGGGCAATGGCATCGACTACTGTGGGTCTCGGACAGAGAACTCACACTGATGCAGGCAACTGGGCTGTTTGGCTGCAATTTGGATCTCCGAACTTCTGGACCGAGTTCGGTAATTCGGACGACTTCGGAACTGTCCACATGGTCGTACTATATGGGACAGGAGAAGTTTCTCCCAGAATTATTATTATTTTATCTATGTAACAATCCGGGCTGCCCAGCACCCCAGGATCTGCCCGGATCCCACCTGGGCAGGCCTGGGCACTCAAGGCCCGGGCAAGGTGCTGGGCAGTCCGAGCGCAAAATTGGAAAAGAGGAGGAAAATTCAATCAAGTAAAAAAGCAAAAAATTAAGAAATTGGATGAAATCCGAATTTGTTTTGTAGGGGACTCTTCGCTGTGTGAAATGGTATCGGATTCTAGGCTACCAGCCGGGCCGCCTGGCTGTGTGAGGACCGGGGAAGGTCCGAGCAAAAAAAAAAAAAGGCCAACGAAATCCAAAAAATGAAAAAAATAAAAAATCCAAAAAGAACTATGTTATGCAAAAAAAAAAACTGAACAACCTTTGCCTCAGGGTCACGTCGAAATTCTTTACCATTTTATTATTATTATAATCTTTTTTTTTCCCTTGGCGCGACCAGGCAAGTGGTCCCGGACCTCTCCGGTAGCCTAGATCGGATTGCAATTGAAGCATACTTGCAAGCGGACGCCGTCTGGGCGGTTCCGCACGTGCGGCAGACCGCCGGACCGGACCCACGCGGCGCACGAATGTGCGCCCGACGACCAGTTACGCCCCACACCTCCCCCCCCCAAAAAAAAAAAAACGCCCCCGTCCGGTCCGGTCGGGGTCCGTCTGGTCCGGGGGGAGGGTGCCGCACACGGCAAAGCGGCCGTCTGCTTGCAAGTATGAATTGAAGGAATGATTCTTCTTGATATGCGGAATGACATCTGATTGGCAATTTGATGTCAGCTGTTTACCCTGTCTTAATGAAAGGCAGTGATATGGTGTCTGTGACGCCATGGCCTGACTCCATGGTATCAGGCCATGGCTGCAGGAACGGTCCTACCTCGTTTTTCTTTCTTTTTTTCATGGCAGCAGCGGACAACCAAACCGGACAAATCCGGACACCGGACACCGGGAATCCCGGTTTAATCCGACCGTCCGGTTTTCCGGTATTTTCCGGTTGATCCGGACATGTCCGGATTGACATGTCCGGATTCCTGTCCGGATAGGCATACATGTCCGGATTAAATTTTTTTTTAAAAAAAAAAAAAAAAAAAAAAAACACTTCGTTTAAGTGGCACCAGAAAAGCCTTAGGGTGAATGGGGGATGTGGGAAGTACGGGGGTGGGAAACGTTTTGACATCTCACCAAAGTGACTGAACATACCTTGTGAAAGAACATAGCTTTACTAAAAGTTCACTCTGGAAAGAAAGTCAAATGTCAGCAAACACCACATGAATTGCAAACAGCTCAACAAACACCAAATTGGCATGAAGTTAGGAATAAGTCTGCATAACCTTTTATAAAACAATTTGAACTTTGAACTTTTGAGGTGTGAAGACTATGAAGTTCGAACTTCGAACTTCAAACTTAAAAGCTCAGACATTCCTAAAAGGTCTCTTGGGCATTCATTGTGAATGAGAAGTTGAAAGTTGAAACTCGATTTACTCTCTCTCTCTCTCTCTCTCTCTCTCTCTCTCTCTCTCTCTCTCTCTCTCTCTCTCTCTCTCTCTTTCTCTCTCTCTCCTTTAGGCGTTTTTCACCGATAGGGCGTTCTTCATCACTTGTGCCATATTCAGATGTAGCAACACCAGCGGCCTCTTCAGATTGTCCTCCATCTCGTTGTCTCTTTCGTTGGAGACCACCCCCCTCTCCTTCGTTCTCCTCCTCGCTGTCGCTATCGCTGCACTCCTCTGCATCTTCCTGAACTTCCTCTATAGAAGCCAGATTCGAAGCTTCTCCATTCTCGGGGGCCACGTATTTTCGCGGCCTGCCTCTTCCGCGTTTTTCTTGCTGCCCAACCTGCGCTGCTGTTGCAGCATCACGAGGATCTGCTACACCACCTCTCTTCATATGCTTGCGCATATGCTCTGCTGTTCCCAAGGACCGTGCCTTCTTGCGCGCTTGTCTATGCGAACGTGAGGCCATATACATGCCTGCCTTCGTTAATCCTCTCCAGTCTTCCGCGTGCC